TAAAAATGGAGGTGCTACACGGATGTCAGCTCCAGCACCGCACTTTCATAAAATCTCTTAAAAATGATTCAACAATAGGCTTTTTCAATAGTTCTCGAGAAGTTCTACAGTTCCTGATAGGTTTCAACAATCGTTCTGCTACGCAACATCGGTAAAATATGTATTAAATATGCTTGTGGCATCATACGCTTCAGTGCAGGCAGACACGAGTTGCTTGCTTTTGTCATATTAAACTTACCGAGCTTACACTGTGCGATCGAATTTAGGATTGCAAAGAAAAAAAGTATTTAGGCTATATCCGATGAGTTGTCTCGTTCTAAGTGTTGCTTTGGGAACCAGCGATAAGTAGCGGAGGACTCTGCCCGCCAGGCTACCCGTTCGTGATCACGTTCAGCTCGGCTACGACGGGATATGCATTATCGACGGAGGCGATGATTAAAAAATTCTATTCCCGGACTCGCCGCTACGATTTAGCGCCATGTTTTTGGTATCGCCTAAAACCGTAGCGTTGTGCATCTCTCTACTGATCTCTGATAATATACAGTTATCCTCATGAGATGATAGGTGACAGCGATCGTGGCTCCATCTTATAGATAATTCCAAACATTACGTTTCACCGTTGGCTAGAAGTTTCCTACTCATCTCTGTATCACGTGCCACCATCTCCTATCTACAACTGGGTAAATACAATTTTTACTAAAACTGTAACCCAAGAATCAGGTCGATTCCACATATGAACATTTGAGTCCCGTCTAATCCTACTTTTTGATTACTTACAAAACTCAATTCTGTGAAATTAAATATATACCCGATTTATCTGCCGATTGACTGTAAATATAAAACCTATTCACTCAAATGTATATACATGCAGATGAATCTAAAGGAAATTTATAGTCTTAAGAGCTGCTACATATGCCCCTTATCAAACGCTGATAAGTCCCAGTACATAATTTTTCCATAATTCCAGTACAATAACCGATAGAAGTATTGTCATGACAATCGTTAACTAAACAATTGCACGTAATTACTGTACAAGACAAAAGCAATTTATTATTTAACATCAAATATAATTCGTTCAATATTTTTAGCCCCCTCCATACTCTAACAATTCAGTGTAATAAAGCGTGATTGTATCTATGACGCTAGACGACTTTAATAAGTTAAATCGTGACTTCCGCCATGTTTGAGCTTTAGTATCTCATCAACGGTTTAAGTGTGAAGACATTGAGTTAGTGCGAACGTTACTGATAACACGTTTAAACTAAAGCCATGCCGAAAGAAGAAATCTTATTGACTCCTGGTCAACGAATAAAACCAACAGTAGATACTAGTTTGGCGATAAATCTCGTTAATAAACTGTACAGCCTAACGGTAACAAGTGTAACGGAATTAAATTCCTACGACGATAAGAATTTTCACGTAATATGCAAAGCGACACATGAGAATCCATGGATCGATCAAATCGCAGAAGATGGATACGTCCTAAAGATAATGAACTCGTTGGATTCGAGAAATACAGAAATAATCCAAGGACAAAATCAGCTGATGATTTTCCTCAATGATAACGATCTAACCTGTTCGCATCCCGTGAAGAATATCAAAGGTGCGTACTACTCGTTAGAGACTCTTGAAGAAGATAAAGAAAAATACGCAGTGCGACTTCTCGTGTATCGACCTGGCATTTTGTTGTGTCGTGCAACAATGACTGCTGAGTTACTGAGAAAGGTTGGAAGTCTTGCTGGGAATGTCGATGAACTTTTAAAGAAATTTCATCATCCGGCTTACGAAAATCATAAAACGCTCTGGATGTTGACATCCTTGCCGCGACTGCGTGAGTTCATTTACGTCATTGTGAATTCTGAGGATCGACAGCTGGTGGTCGAGGTGATTGAAAAATTTGAAAATGACGTTCTAAATCGTATAGATGAGCTTGACAGAGGAATAATTCACGGAGATTTAAATGAACAAAATATCCTCGTGAACGAGAACGGGAAGGATATTGTTGCTGTTATAGATTTTGCCGATACTCAAAAGTCGTGTCTTGTCTTCGAATTAGCTATAGCTACGTGCTACATGATGCTGCACGCTCAAGATCTGGCAATGGGACGTCACGTTTTAAAAGGATACCAGGAAGTACGGGATCTTAATAAAATGGAAAAAAGTATACTAAAAGTATGCATATGCGCGAGATTCTGTCAGAGTCTTGTATTGGGTGTTTATACATATCTTAACGATCCGCAGAATGAGTATTTATTGATAACGCAAAAGAACGGTTGGAAGTTGTTAAAAAAATTGTGGAACATGAACGATGACGAAGTAAGAGAAATTTGGGATCTTTCTTATTGATAATGTCAGGTTTGATTGTTACAGAGGATTTGATGGAGAGTGAGTATTATATATACACTGATATACATACCCTTATTTGTTTCTTTTTTTAATTTATGTATAGGCAGTTACATATGTACATATATATAATATATTTATATATATACCGAACAATAATACTCTCCATATTATATAATCTTGTGAAATCATTTTACATGGCTACGCTGCATGGTATATACAAAAAATTGTACGCCTAAGTTAATTATTTCGATTATTCATTTTTATCATTGTAATTATGTTGCTGTGTCACGTCTCTCGCTCCGTGTACATCTGCCTGTTTTTATTAATCAATAATTATCATTAGCAATATTATCATTGTAGTGTTTAATTATTAATCGGTCGAGCCCAAACGTAATGTTAGAGAACGCTGAGGTCATTGCTTCATGATCGATGATTAATTTATGTTTGATGATCGATATGCCGCACGCAAGGAACGTATATTTTACAGGAGAACTAATTCTTTAATTAAATGTTGTACGTGATAAGAGAGCTTTTACAGTCGTGTCTAGTTCCGGTATCAGTAACAGGAAATGGAAAAAGAGCTGAGACTGCATTTACGGAAGTACGTCGTGCGTCTTTGAGATTTTTATTAATTTCATCGTCGCGTTTGTTTTTTTAAGTAGTATATGGCGCACGTGCATTTATTTATTAATTGTTAATCTATTATTCTTATCGGACACTGTCGTTGCGCTCCTTGCAGCATCATTCCTTCATCGATCATTATTAATTTATTACCTACGCGACTTATCCAATAAGAACGTTATCATATAAGATCAAGAGTCGCGGTAGCGACTCGGCGCCAAATACAAAAAACTTAAATTGCATAAAATGCTTTTTTTAGCGTTGAAATTATTATTTTAGCGAGACGCTACTGCTACTCTTAATATCCGGGAATAAAGGGTTATTTAAGAGCAGTGTATCGATTGAAGTTAGTTTTTATCATGTAAATTAAATTTATCAGCTAACTTCACTTTTTACAATGGTCTTGGATAATCCTATTGTACCTATTGTTATTTACGCACTTTTATTCTTATTTTTTTTTTTCAAATTCGCGCGTTAGCTCATTTTGGCAAGCCTTTTATAGCTGTGTAAGAGGCAAATTCGTTGCTGGCGAAAATTTCTTTACAATTCGTACAAAAGGCCCGAGATTATGCGCAATTTTGGTTTTGTGGCTTTACTCCAAAACAAGCTAATAAATTTTATTGTGTTAACTGCTAAAGAGCAGCAAAGAGATTTTTAAGGAAATTTTACGAATATATTTAAACGCACCAGAAACTGTATTGTTTATGGTATTACCATTAGGACGAATAAGATCAATTGATTTTTATTTCAGATATAAACGTAGTCAAGAAAGGAAACTTACCGAATGAAAATGTTATTATATAGAATTTCGGTAAAATAAGTAAATAAAAGCTCTTGAGAATCAAGAGAAGCGAATAAACTCGAGATTTTCGACTAACAATGGAACCTCGATTGTTAACAAATTTTCGCCGATTAATTTCTTATTAACAAAATATTATATTACAATACCTCAATATTTTATTGCTTAGTCTATTGGTTTTTTTTTTCCTTTCTTTTTTTTCTTTTATGTTCGACCAATCAGGGGCGTACATTATATATAATATATATTTCTTTATATATTTATAGGCGTATATTTTCTTTATTCTTTTTAGTGTCCCTCGCGTTAATCGTATCCACACTATGTTCTGTCATTACGTAAATGCAACTTACGCGTAGGTCCGGTAGTCGTAGAAGCTTAAAGATCAACTTATAAAAGTTATTCTGACAATAAAGAGAATAAAAATGTATCGATAACAATGATAATACCCGTGGAGTTATTTATAAATGCTTCAGTGGAATGTGCGGATTGATTTCTTTGGAATTCGCGAAAAGATTCTTGATAATTGTATTAATGCCCAAGGCTGTAATGATAATGAATAATAATAATAATAATAATAATAATAATAATAATAATATAATACGGTAGTCGCCTGTTACAAAGTACGTTTTCAGTCTTAAGAAATAATCTTTTTCTATTTTTCTTGTGTCCTCGTTACGATCGGGAAGAGATAATTAAATAAGAAGACCCTAGATTGAGGGTGAGTCGAAAGAATATAAAAAACTGAAAGTGGATGTGGAATGTGGAAAAAATGGAAATCATATACTTTTTACGAGAGGGAGACAGAGGGAGTTTCGATCTATATAATCTTTTTTTTTCAATTTTGTCTTTTTGTCTTGCCTGACCATCTTCATCGCTCTTTATCCTATGTATTAAACTTTAAATGGATCCTTCGCTCGTGTTATCATGGCTGCGAACGAAGTCTTTCAACATTGAAACAGTTTAAGATGTGTCAATAAATTCATATCGCAATAATAATTTTCCGTGGGATTATAATAATTCCTCTTGACTTTTTAGTTTGTTAATTATTGAACTTTAACAATATACTTCAACTCTCTCGAACAAAGGCCAGGCTCTTCGTTCTTATTTTTCCAGGACCTTGGTGTCTGTATGACTGTTTTCCGTTTATGCATGGTCCTATTTATATACATAACACATGGCTGTGTATGCTGACGTGTCTTTAGGAATTGTACCAAATTACACGTGACGTTTGCTAAAAAGATTATTATTCAATTAGAATGAAATTAACTTCGGACAGTGTGTGTAAGCCCTGAACCGTCCGTCATCTTTTTGTCTCTCTGACGATTTAGCTCTGGATGACACTTAAAAAAGAAAAACATGAAATGAGTTGAAATCGAAATTTTCACATTTTTTCTTAACTTCGATTGGAAAAAAAATTAAAAGTTGATGCTGCCTATATGTAATCTTCGTGCTCCCATTAATACTGCTATTAATTAGAGTCAATTAATTATTATTCATTCACACGTTTCACGTCGGATTTATACTTTTGACGTCTATCCAGTTTTCACAACCTACATATACATATATATACACACGTAAGTATATATATGCATATAAAGGCGTATATCATCCAGTACGGAGTCTCCATCCCGTGTTAGATTATCGACCGGAAATAGCCACTGTGTAAGGTGGTTGGACGAGCGCAAAATAATGTCTGGTTCAATTGCATCCGATGGCAATAGTTTTACTTGGATTAACTTTTCTTTTCTTTTCATTCACTCTGACTTACACACTGTCACACTAGGAATGCTAGGACTTTTATTCTTCTCACGTTTTCACCCCTGCAGACATTCTTTTCTCTCTTTTAATTATTAACACGCTTGCAACCCCATTCCCGTCGCTTTATGCTGCTTACCTAATCTTTAAAAAAAAAAATTGCATCGACTATAATTTCAATTTTGTCAGCCTAACGGCAGGATTGGCAGCACTGCTTTTGATAAAGTGGCACGCGGCACATATTCATCAGTTTGACTCTGCTGCAAAGCTGCGATTGATCTTTGCACTCTCCTGCAAAGTGTAATTTTTATATAGAAACTTCTTTTCTTTTTACTTGATATATTTTTTAATTTATTTATAACCGTACCTGGCGATTGTGGACACGGTGGACCCTTGCAAGTCTTCATAACAGACGGACGTGAAATGTCCCTGCATGCATTGCCTGCAGGTTTCTTTGTGCCGAACCAGACGCACTGTAGAATCCTGTATTTTATACCGTCCTCCTCGCAGGACGCAGTGCACTGAAGTAATTACGATAGGAATTTAAATTTGAAAAATTAATTTTTTAATTTTTCCTCGCGCCTCTTACCTCTGACCATTCGCCTACACGCCACACGCCCTTACAGGCGCCATTGTAACATTCCTGCCTCTGCGGTGGCCTTATGCCGTCGTCACAATTACTGGAATCCAAAACCGTCACATTTTGTGTACCATCTTCAAGCTCATCGATCAACTGACAGCTGATGTCTCGCCTCTGCATCGCTAAAATATGTAAAATATTATAAATAATTCAGTGAACTAGCAAACCGAGTCTTCGACTGGATGACCTACCAGTTTTCCAATTGAAGCATCGTGAACTTTCACAAGGTGTCCATTCCCCGATACTCCACTGAGGGCATCTTCCGGAACCACATGGTCTCACTTTCTGTGGGACAGGATATCCGGCGTCCTCGCATAAATTCGCACCGATCACCGTCTTGGGCGAGACTACTGTGGAACTTGAATTTGTTTTCGACGTACGAACTGTACATTGCGCTCCTCTCATCTGTGGGAGATAATTTTTGTGATAAAAATTTTTTTAATCATTTTTTGAAGGAGTATATAGACCTACCTGAAATCCACCTCCGCCGCAAGTTTGTGAACATTTTGACCAGTCTGTTGTGACCCATTCGAAAATTAAGTCATCTGCCGTTCCTGGTGTTGCGAAAAGATTGCACGTTAAATATATTTGTGTTATCGTGTAACTCTTTCTTAACGTTGGATCTCATACCTTTTCCTAAGATGACTGGACTTATGGATGAGTCGTCCATAGCATCTTCATGATCAAGAGCAGTAGAGGTTAGGGCATCCCATGTTTTACTACTTTCAAAGTCCCTTGATATCTTCTGGGAATAATACGTATCTATTCCCTGATCTCCTGGATCACCGAGGATTTCATCCAGATGGACCTCGCGAGAGACATTCTTCGAATACTCATTGGTCTCTTTGGAAGACAATGCGGGCTTCTGATGCTTTCCGGAAATGGATTCTTCCTCTTGTAGAATCTCGGTGGCCGAGGAAGATACGCTCGTATTGTTATCTGTTATAACGGCACTATTATTTGGTCCCATCAATTCCTCCTCCACTTTGACACTTGTCTTGTCATTTGTCATTTCCGGTAGCACCAGGTCATCCGAATTAGAACTTTCAGTACTCTCGCTGGTATTGACTTCCGGCGGACTCTCATCTGCATCCACATCCGGTTTAGGATCCAATTGACTTTCGGTCCTTTTACGTACTTCCAATTTGGTCTCTTTAGCAATATTTAAACCTGAATCCATTTTCTCGTGTCTTCCTTCTAATTTTTTCGGATCCCGAAGGTAATAAGCACTGATAACGGCGTGCTCGGGATTTCTTATGGATTGTAATTCATCATTAAAATTATCAGCGACTCCATCGTGATGGCTTTCAATAAAATCATTCACAGATTCCTCTTTCCTCCTTTCCTCTTCCCTACGTTTTGTCTTTCGCAATGACTCCTCAATATAATCTATTGCCAATTTCGTTGGGACAGCCGACATCCGCCTCTCCGTTACGACTTCCGCTGTACTTTTAACGCTGTCCTTACGCTGAAGCGCAAAAATAGCTTCGTCGATGTCGTAGGGATCGTCATCAATGAAAATCCTCTCCTCGTCTGGACCAAATTTCTCATCCGGTATACCAGCTGGATTTCTGTGCATTATGTCGTAGTCCTCGTTTCCATAATTCAGGTGATTTCGTCTGCTCGATGAAATTTTATCTTCGTCCCGTAATTCATCAAATAATATCGGTGATATCATTCTGTGACCTCGGCTGGACGCTCCGCCATCATTAAACGGCCAATAGGACTGCAATAGATAATCAGTGAGAAGCTAGGAAAAGATACCATATTAATTTGCATTTTGATATTTCATTTATAAAAAAAATTAGCTCTGCCTAAGGAAATAGAATATTTAACGTTAAAATTACACTAGAATATTGTACGTACCGTGCTTCATGCAATATTTAAATATTTATAAAACATTGCAGATACTATTTGGATCTATGGAAATAAACAGGCTCGGCAAAAGTTATTGTAAATTGCAATAAGCAAATTTAAGAGCTTCGAGCATCACAGGCTGGTGTGATCAACATTCATATAATGATTATCGGACATGTAAAAAGACTGGAAAAAAAGATGTTTCATCAAAGGTTATTGTACTGACAGACTAAAGTCATTACTCGAGCCACTACTATTTTATCTATTCGAAGAAAGGAACAAACAAGCTTTCTAATCTTAATTCAATATTGATCTAAGCATTCTTGTGAATCTCATCATCGTGAGGCATTTCTATTGGCTCGCGAGATAAATTCCATCTCACCTTCAAACTCGAAATGAGACGAGTTATGTATGGCAAAACGGTAGAGGTACCGGAAGTTGCAGAAGATTCGACGGATTCGTGGTAACCAGGCTGGTATCGGAATCCCAAAGATAATGATTCCGGATCAATGTTAATAGAGTCCAAGTTCAGTGCCAGCATAAGATAATAGCATTATCAGGAAATGTTAGTAAATTCAGAAAAGTACGACTGTACGTTAGATGATTTAAATGATTTTCAGAGTGCAATAAGTTATCACAGTGTGTTTAATACGTGACCAATCGTATAGAACAGTAGACGACCATTACCTAATAATATTTTTCACGATCTCTAAATCAATTTTACAATTCAATTATTGCGAAACAGTATAAGGGAAGAAGTATTCAATTTGGAGTAATCTAATTTTGAATCGTTACACGTGTTTTACCTGATGCTGAGCAGTTACTGTGTGTTCTCCATGTGCCATTGTCGCGTCCGGATGTGACAGACCTGAACTTGGTTTCTTGGGACGTGGCTTCTTCGTCGGTTTCACCGGAACACTACCCTCCGGACGTGCCTCGTGACTGATATCCTCATTGCCAAACGCGAAAGACCTTACATAGCCGGATGCTGTCTGATAGCTACCTGCGCGATCAGTATGTACGTTCTCATCGGAATTGGAAATGGCCGACTCTAAATTGGCATCTTGACTTTGGTGCACGGCATTTCCATAACGCAAAACCTCTTCGCTGCTCATCTGCTCTCCGTGCTTCACCTTCACCTGAAGTACAGTCTCAGCTTTCGTACTGTCGGCTAAAACAATCGTACGTTTTTTATACCGTGCTTCTGAAGTTGTATGAAAATTCTGTTTAGACTTTTTGAAAAAAAAAAAAAATATAGATTTACCATTGCAAGCATAAACTCCACGATCTGCATGGGTTATGTCAAAAATTCTCAATAGTCCTTTCTTGCTGATCTTGTGCTTCGATGACTTTCGCAGTATCGTACCGTCTTTGGTCCACATTATCTGACTCCTGAAAGAAGATACCAATTAGCTGGCTCAGAAAAATATTCTTTATTATCCTCAGTATATTACTTGTCGAAATTCTTGACAGGACATCGAATCTTGACGACTGACGTTCCATAGAAGACTTTGGCTATTCCGCCGATCTTCAGATCCACCTTCTTCTTGTCCGATTCCGGCTGATCGTATGTTGTGTTCTCGCTAAAGATCATCGGTTCCGCTCCCGATCTCATATTGTCACATGACTTTGTATTGCACGGTTTCTCACTGGCTGGCTTTGGCGACAGGCAATCTCTTTCCTGCAGCGTTTCCTTCCTGCCCTGCGCCATCACCTGTTGACATGTGACCGTGCGCGACTTCACACCGCCGCCACAAGTTTTTGAGCACTAAAAAATATAAATGACATAAATATACACGGCGATAAAGAGTAGCAACGTATATATGGAACTGTTTGACATTGGTCCATATGGAAATTTGTGACATGACAGTCTCAGGAAGCACATTGTACCTTGCCCCACTGTCCAACGTGCCACGTGACAGGACAGTCGAACACGTTACAGTACTGACGGTCCGACGGTGGAGGCTGTGGACACATGTGGCCAGGAACTATTACTGTATTGACGGTTCCCCGCGTCACCTCATGTATGCAGTTGACGTCTCGTAACTGAATCCCGATACCACAAGGGCTTTTGCAGGCTGAGAATTCGCTATAGTTCCACCTGAAAAGGAGATCAGCACAATGAGATGATCGAATAGCACTACCAATGCGCACAGCAGTTGCCTTTTACTGGAATCATTGTGGACCGTTCACAGCGGTGACTATAAAATCATTTCTACTTAATATAGAAGTCACGAAAGACTTACCTGGGTGGGCAGGGATGATCATTGCACGATTTTATTCTGGCTTCCGGTCTTGTTTCCTGACTGCAAAGATATGGCGCCACTGGTCTGCCATTGTCATCGCGTACACAATTTATTATAAGATCCTGCATACCTGTAGGATCAATTTGCTTTAATTAATAAAACAAAACAATCACAGTTTGGAATATATGACTTTTACTTGTCAATGACTTACCACCTAGGCACGTTGCACTGCAGTGAGTGTATCCTGCTTCCCTCCAGGAGAAGGTAGTCTCGGTAGCAATTCCTGCAGCGATCTTTACGCTACCTTCGTAACTCTCACCTCCGGAACCCCTTGATCCTGATCTGTACTGATCCGTCATGCTGGACTCAGCATAACCACTGTCGCCTACAGTGTCCATCCTGTAGGACAGACTGTTATCGAGGATGCTGCAAGGCTCCATCTCGCACCTCTCTGTCTCTATGGGTTTTGGTCCAGAGCACTGGTGATTGGGTAGCTTGACGATGGTGCGGCTGAACTCCAGGAATATCTTACAGTGGACCTCACGATGACGGATACCCTCGCCACAGGTAACGCTGCACGGTGACCATTCATCCACGATGAATCTGAAGAGTAAAAATTTTTTATATTTCACTTTTCCATCATCTTTTTTTTACATTTTATTTTATTTTTTTTTTTTTTTTTTTTTTTTTTTTTTTTTTTTTTTTTTTTTTTTTTTTTTTTTTTTTTTTTTTTTTTTTCTTTGCTCTCCAGCGGCTCTTTTCTCTCCCGTGATCGATTACGAGGGCGGATAGCCACCGGTTTGTATTTTGATTGAAATTAATCATGGGAGATTAATTGTCCTACTTCACCATGCGTCCTTTCACAATGGTTCCATTGGCTTGGAGAACAGTAGGAGCTACTATACGGGTAATATCGATCAGAATCATAGAATTGTTCTAGTTTCTATCAAACGACAGCGTAGGTGGGTCTTATTCAGTTGTTTTCAACGTCTGAAGTTACTTTGATGATTGATAAAAATTTAGTTTGCTTCATTTCGACTTTGGAGGTACATACTGTATCCGATGTATGTGAATAGAGTACACAGCGAGACAAAAGCAATCTGATCCCACAGTCTAGTTTTATTCATAGACAAAGTAAAGATTCGAATTTTTTTGATAGACTGTCACTAAAACTCATGACTGCAAAACTTTGGCAGTGTCAGGTGTTAAATAATTTGTAACTTATAAGCTGTCAAACAGAATGATGTAAATAATACAGGTGATGACACTGGATGGAGCAGCTGGAGAAAAATCTAATACTGAAGAGAAAGGAAGTCCCTTGAGAAGTTTTGAAGATAAGGAGACTCAGATTAATAGGATACCTCGGATGCAACCAGCCACAGGCAAAGTAGACCGTATAACTGTCAAGACAGATAAACTGACGCCAGGAATTAAATGAGTGTATTCAGTGGGTCAAAGGTCAGCTGAGGTACGTATCGTACGTGCTTTGCATGCAAAGTAAAGCTTCTACCGTGACAGTAGCGTACGATGGCGACTTTACCATGAAAGTGACGTCGATGATATCGATTATCGATCGATTGTCATTAAATTATTTTAATTGTACTTACGTCGAGTCCGATGGTACAGCCTGATCAATTAATTTCTCAGGAACCGGCGGTGCCGGATACGGGTGCATCAATGGGAGACTGAAGTCGTCGGTGTCATCTGATGAACATATGTATTTGTTTATTTTGCCATCACAACCGTGATTCTAACGAAATTGAACTTTTGCAGGAAATTCGAAACGAGGATGAGGGTACAGGTATTAATATTATTACTATTTCAACGTTCAGGCAAAGCCAAGAGAATTTTGAAATTAAATAATTAATTTTGACTTTGTCGGAGCTGCTATAGGAGTATTAAAAAAAAGTTTCGTCGGGCGTATCAAACTGCTGGAAAATTAACTTGGACTCCGGACCTTCATTGCTGAAAGTGCTGAATTTTTATTTTTTTTTTATTTCTTCGACTCTTTTCATCTCCGCTGATTCAATATGAATCTTATATCTATGTACGTGGAAACTTACAGACTGCGCAGGGATTATTCGTTCTGCATTCCTGCTCCGTACGCGGATGTTCTCCAAGGTCGCAATCCGTAGAGAGTCTTCCGGTGCCGTCGCGACATTCGACCGTCCTGGTTTTGACGCCAGTTCCACAGGTCACCGAGCACTATTTGGTAGAAAAGAAAAAAAAAAATATAATTTCAGGGTCCGATCAAATAATACGTACACATACCACATGCACGTATTAAAATATCTAGTGAGCACCCAGCGAGTACACGAACCTCAAAAAAAATTAAAAAGCAAATTCGACTGGCACAATAGGATTCAATACTGTCTATATTCAATATAAAAATTTCTTTTTGTAAATATGATTAATCCATAACTGATAGCTATTGATAAATATGTATACGCGTAGTTTTTCCGTAGGCGAATATACCGACTCAATTCGCCATAATGACTTGAATAATTATATCGTAAGAAAATGCCTTCGTACTGTCAGAATTCAAAGTTTTTAAATGTACAAAAAATATATAACAAACTCAGTCTCGACGGTACAGAGATACACAAGCGATGAAGATACTTGCGTAAAGTGGCACTGAAAGCAAAAGGATCGAGGATAATTGACTCCTGGACTGAGGGGAGTAGCACTGTAGACACCTACCTACCTATATAAATACATATTCATCGAAAGACGGTAAGTGTTCTAGGGTGCAAGATATAAGGTTGAAAGTAAATTGTATGGCAGCGTAACATGAAAATAGAGACCCACTCGCGTTACCCATAGTCTGCTAAAGAAGGTAGGAAGGGGTTAGAGAAAAGGAGGGAGAACCCAATAGCTTCAAGTACTTAAAGGGCGAGAGGAAGAGGAGCGTTGGTGGTCGTGAGCTTTCAGCTCAATATTTGCTTGGCTCGCTTCACAAAAGCGAGAAATCTATCAATTCCTGTCTTCCATGCTCATTCATTCGGCTTTCAGTCGGATGAAATCATTACCGTCGACGGACTGGCTGATGGGCGGGTGGTGGTGGTCTGGTGCGACGGAGGTATGCTGCCAGAGAAGAAAGAGACGGTAGACGTCAGGGGGCACTAAAGTAACGGAGAAAGGACGTACCCGTCGAGCTAGTGCGGGGCTTTGGCGAAGTTATCATAAAGGAGGCCCGTAGCCTATGGTGCTTGGTAGTACGTCTCTCGGGCGCTAGAGTGCATTGTATATCAATCAAGAATGAAACGCCGTAAATCATAACCTCGGTATGTTCGCGTTTGCTGATTATGGATTTTCGCATAGGATACACAATACACGTAAGCGGGATTGGTTCTGTACTGTTATTACGCGTTGTCGACTATCTGTTTTATGTTCTTACAATTGGAAACGTCGTCTTATCTGTTGCCCTACGTAACCTATGTGGTTGGCTGTCTATAAGTGTTTCTCGACTAGTTTTAAAGTAACACTTCGTCGACCCATTTTCAATGTTCGTTTTAGTGCCGATCAATTTTAACCTGAAATGTACTTTCTAAAAGTGACCTGTGCACGTGATGAATGGATCTAGGGTAATGTACTCTTTTTTTTTATTTAATTGGGAATTATCAGTGACTCGTCAACTGCAACTGTCAAGAGTCCTAACTTTTTTTTCTTAAATCTTAACGAACATTTCGTAACGAATTCTTCTACGTTACATCGCGCGAGTTTATATATCCGTATTTGCATAATCAGTTGCATCTCTATATAAGAGGTTTAAAATCCGATATTCTGCTGTGGTAGCTGTGCTACGTGTACTGTACTGTACTTATGTTGTGTATGCATGTACAATGTACACGGGAAGTTGGTATATGAGATAAACAGGGGAGCATCTAAACGAAGAGAGTTGTTTGGCGAAACTGAAATAGTAAGCTAAATATTTTAACCTGCTTGTTTTTCGAATATACGCTGGTTCAGCTGTGCTGATTTGAAACGTTCTCTGATGGTAGGAAACGTCGGGATTGTTATAACGGAGGTGGAACATCGGAGGCGCTTCGCGTATACTTAATTGGGTTTGTCTGTTTGCAGTATGGTTATTGGGGGATATGCGTGTTAAGGCTATGTTTAGAATAACTCGAATGCTTCCTGTACGTTCAATGAAACTTCCTGTACAACGAGTGTCGATGATTTTCGCTTTCCGCGAGAATATCTAATGTTTCAATATTTTTTAGAATGTTTTTTCACTGTTCATCCTGTCACAGGTACACGGAGTGATGACGTCAATTTTTTGTGCCGCAAGTGTTAGACGGGTTATAGGATAAATAAATAGTCGGTGGAAGGGGTTTAGTGACCTCATGAATAAACCAAGACGTTCGTTCTATGGGGTAGGGACGATTTTTCTTCTCCGGGGTAAGTTTAAACTAGGCGTGGCTTCTTGCTAGCTGGATTCTACGTACGGGTTATACGTATAGGTAACTCCTTCGGTTATGCACTTGTTTTCTCTCTCTCTTTCTTTATTCCTTTTTTCCATTTTTTTTTTTTTTTTCTTTTGTGACAAACTTTCCTCGTCAAAGGCAGGTGCTTGTTATTTACGCTGGCTGTCGCGAAATAAAGTTAAACCGAAGGCATTATGGCGTTTCAAGATTTTGCCAGTGGGACGAGCACTGTGAACTTTTTCGATTCTTGGCCACATTTTTATTCTCTTTTTTTTTTTTTCTTTCAATTTGACTGCAAGTAACCCACCATTATTCCTGTAGAGAGGCTGATAAGGGGTGAAATTTTCAAGCTTCAAAATGCTATTTATATACTTATACACCAATGGTCTATGTGTCTATTATTCTTTTTGACTTATTTTTCTTTCAGATTCAATCACAGGCTTCACGTCGAGATTGGAGAACTCGTTAGATTCTTCGAAGAGACGTTATGTGCCAGAAAGTTTGGCATCGGTATTGTGTTTGGTGTGAAATAATGTAACTGCGGTGGTACAAGAGGCACCAGAAGAGACAGTCTTTCGTATAGCTATATATATACTATAATATATTATAGCTGTATATTCACGGCCAGGTAATTTCTCTCGCGACAGTTTGCTTTATTCGTTTTGTTTTCTTCGTTTGATTCGCAACGACCGAAGGCGAAGCTGAGGAGAGAGTTTGAAGTTTTAGGGATGCTGCGACCGAGCAGAGACTTGAAGAAGTTGAAAAGGACTTGTTTGAAGACTAAATTGTCTTGTTTGATCTTGGCGGATGCAACCCCGTTTCTTTCATGGGCCAGTAGAGCGTGATGCTACGGTTAAGTAAAATAAGGAGTAACTGCATCCAAGACACGTTATTACTCTACGATTCGTTTGACGTTACCGGCGGAGTCGACGGTTTTCATTTTTCTTGCTTTTTCTACTTTCCGCGACACTTTGTCATAATTGGCTGGACGCGTCTTGGATTCTGAATTTACTGAACGTCGTGCGAGACAGAGAGATGGAAGGAAATAAGATTTTAAAAAACTAAAATTTTATGTAACTTTTTTGGATTTAAAATGTTGATACTCATTGCTACTCACTTTGCTCCAATGACTGGTCTCCCACATGGGGCAGGAAATTGTATTGCAGCTCTCTTGGTGCCTTGGTCTGTGCAGCCCGTTGCACTTGTGTTCCGGGAGCTGCAATTTCGAGGAATAACACTTTAGTTTCCTACCTATTGACCAGGGACGTTGCTTTGGGAGGGGAAATAAAAAAAATGGCTATAAAAGAACACGTTGAACGGTCGTAAACGTGACGGTGTTTTTCTACCGTTGAATAAGGACAGGAAAAGGAAGAGGTTGTACGTCGAAATACGTTTTGCTACTTGAAAGAATTTGGAAAAATTATTTTCATTTAGTTTGAGCTATTTTAAGTAAATTTTTGTTGGGAGTTAACGCAGCAACGTTGATACTTCAGTCTTTCACGTGACAACGTAAAGATAACTCGTTGCATCAGCAATTCGAGTCGAGCGACTTTCAGCAGTTTTGGGAGTGTTTCGTAAAATATGAAAATATATTTAAAATGCATATATATGTATATATATATATATATATCACAGTGAATTTCAAGTCTCTTTGATCACGTAAAAGCATTTACGCGACTCTGCCAGGCGCGACGTCAGTCGTCGACACAATTGTTCCAGATTTCGCGCAACGAGATGTCATTTCACAATGGTCTTTCGCCACAAGGATTTTTCAGCTTGGAAAATTTCACGCAAGTCCACGTCCACATGTACCTACGTCAGCCGTACGTTTTCCTTACCTTGTCGGTAGTTTTGTTACCCTTGTCCTCGGTACAAAAAACATTTCTAGTTCTCGAGCCACCGCCGCAGCTGGCGCTGCATTCGCTCCACTCCCCAGCGACCCATCTGCACAGAATTAAGTCATGGTGGTGACAAGTAACAAAAAAGTAAGAACAATCCAGTATTCATTGTTATCTGATCTCAGGAGGAGATACAAATCTACATTGAATTAAAAACAAGATCCATTGCTACAATAACGTTGCAGATGAATATTATTTATAATTCTTTGCTAAGCAAATTTGAAATACATTCTAACAGACACATCGTTCTAATAGAACGAGTCACTTGCTTATTGTCCTATTACATCGCAGAATAAAATTTCTACTGAGATTCCTGATGCAATTCGGATAAGTTACATTAACCTCAGGATACACGTGAGTCTCTATTTGTATTATGAGAGTAATAAATTCATATTTAAATTCCCTGAAGTAACTATTCCGTACGGAGGTATGGCTATCGACTCGCAGTGTATAACCAATTCTTTCTGCATATCTATTTCTATTTTTATACCTACGTTTTTAAAGTCTTATCGTCAAGTTTTATATTGCATATAGCCCGGCCCCGTTGCACCAATGGCTTCCTGGAGTTGATTCTGTGCAAAGACATTATTGGCATTATCGATGACCCGATATCGCGATGGCGTTTCAAATCGCTTTTTTTTCCTCCCCAACGAACGTCGAAACCGTGGCTACAATGTACGTACTGTGTACATCTATCTATTACGTAACTGTAGTTCGATATAACTATAGCGAGCGCCACGCCGCCCTACCGTTAAACTCCTCCAGGGTAATTCGTATCGAACGCAGGCATTATTCACTGCGCAGGAATTAATTGCAAACGGACCTTTCTGATTCTCCTGGCGAGCCTGACTTGTATTTCGCTTTTCAAAAAGTTACCTAGGCTTGAGCGACGTCGGTCGCCAGATGGATCTATCGATCCATTCTGAATGAAACACGCTTTACACATATACACATTGCTTTTCGTTAAAATTTACCAATATTTATGCATCATTCGTTCTCGTTACAGTGAATTAGTTTTTGATTATTTTTTTTAAATTTTCATTCTTTCCCCTCAAAAATACTAAGAAATAATTTACAATTTTACTGATCGACAAGGAATATCAGTGCTGCAAATTTAATCGATCTTCAACGAAGCTACGTTATATAAACGATAATAAAATAACGTCGAATCACAGTGTCTCCGCTGTGTGGCGCCACAAGCGAGTTAAACTAAATCGCAAAGCGAAGTAATTACCGCAATTCGAACGGCGACAGTCGTTGTTGTCCTAGTGACTCGTTAATACAGCCGCCATTTCGCGAAAGCCTCGAATATTTCATTTCACGTCGACATAACATTGTCAGCAGATATAAAGAGCTTTCCATCGCGTATTACAATGTTCTAGAAAGATAAATATATTAGTCCCACGCAAAGAGAGGACCGAGGATGTAGAAAATACGTGGAAGCCACGAAGTAAACGCTATTACACGACGTCAGGTCGCGTTTACAATATTTCAAGACTCTTATTGCGGATCAAGCTTTTTGAAGCTGGAACGTATATCCTCACGGAATAAAGTCGCTTTACGGTTTGACTATTACATTTTTTTTTTCTCTACTGCGCTGTACTACAAAAGCCTGTGGGCCTTTCTCTTGGCTAATGGCTGTTGAGGCAGTTGAAAGCCTCCTGTATTGCTCGTGTTTGCTGCTACTCATGCTTCGACTACAGTTTTCAACTATACATATACAACCTTTATGCCTGGTTACCTTCCTACCTATATGCCTCGTAGGCCTATATACCTGCACGCCTAGTCCAATGCCTTCTCTAACGTCATCTCCCGTCGAGCAAACGCCCCAGCCTTCGCTTTACACCTTGTTCGCAGTCAGAAACACTAACGCCTGCCGGTACTCACTTCGTGGAGCATGGGTGCGTATTGCACGGCAATAAAGTTTTCCCTGGCTTCTGGTCAGGATCGCAATTCGAATTTTCGACGATTGTTTCCGTTCCGATGGTCTTGCATACGGCGACGGCAATTTTGAAACCTACAAAGAAAATTAATGCGGATGTAAATATATGTAAAGGTGCTACGGGAGCTTTTTGAAGTATTCGGTTGACTTTTGTTATCAAGGTTGTACGAGACTGGCGTGACGGGCTTACCACCTCCACAGGACTTGGAGCACATGGATATCGATTCCAGGATCCAGGAATATTCTGACTGACAGCTCGAACCGTTTCCGCCGCACACGCCACAGGCGTCCAGCCTTTTGCTGCTGCCCACTCTGAGGTCGCAGCCGACTTTCTGCAAAGGATAATTGATAATTGGTTATTATGGTACTTCTGGGTGTGTCAATTATTTACGGTGCTGGGTATACGTAGCTGTGGAGACACGAGGCTATAAATTTCTCTTGGCAGGTAAGCCGAGAATGTCGATTAACGATTTTCATGAAAACACGTTGAATTTGCCTGCGTCAATTTACACGACTTCCAATTTCCAGCGTGGAAGCCTAGACGGGGGGTGCCGATCGGTACTCGGAGTTGGACCGGAGCTGATTTGTCATTCAGGTTGCATGGAGGGTATTCGCAGGGTCGGGAGAGAGAGAGTACATTATTCATCCCTTATCCAGGCTAAGAAGAGTGAACTAAACCAGAAGTAGCAGTAGGGGCTGGATGGCGCCGAAGAACGTCAGGGCGTTAAGGTGGGCTGAGGGTGATAAAGGGGTGGCTGAGTTCACGGATATTGAGATGATGGGAGAGAGAGAGAAGAAAGCAGCCTGGGAGTAGTGAGAGTAAAAATTGGCAAATTCAAAATGGATGGCATCGAAAGCTTCGAGAAAACAATCTGCCCGATTTTCCTGTTATCGGAGTATCTTTAGATATTTTTTTTTTAAGGGCATCTATACTTGCGAGACGATGTACAAAAATATGTAATACATATATAAATATATAAAATATAAGACTCCCGTAAATTTTAATATTTATAGATTCGGAAGGTATTTTTGAATTTTTACGTCTCTGCGAAAGACCGTGAATCCGTTATCAGTGTTATTGTTCCCGTTTGCCTTTTTTCTCGGATTGCAGCCTCGTACAGTTTATGCCGATTTAGCAAGAGTGCTTTTCCCCACGTAGCGCCACGATGAAATTTAACATGAAGCCGACACTCTGTGTACGTATACGTGTCTCGGAGAAATACGAGCCTGATGGCGGCCGCGGATTCCCGCAAAATCTCTTACGGCGAATTTGTTCCCATTCTGGCGAGTTAAACGACAACGGTAAACTTCCTTCTTGCTCGTTACATTACAATATGTGCCATTACCCTTGCAGCCGATGTAAAGCAGCACGTGTGCCGTCACGTGTGAACGTACCTGGAACATATTGCAGTCTAGTACACACATAGCTAAATCGAATGGAAGACATCGGAACGTTTTGAATTTCCCGGGCATATAAACAGCTGGTATAAGTGTTCCCGTGAAGATTTTCAATTTCAACGTTAAAATAGTCATTAACGAAATCGTGAATACGTGAAGTAGTTTTGGAAATTTTAATGGAGGAACAAAAAATTATGTGACAGGAGGATACATTATTTCCTATCGATAGGAATAGACTAAGGATATATTAATTTTGAAAAATTTCAATGCGTTTTTTAGAGATATTCATAACGGAGGAGGTTTACTGGCTAAAGAAAAAATTTTTCCTATACCTTTCGATACAACGAAAATACATTGACACGTGTTTGACTATTTTTCCAGTGACTCTTGTTGTTCGGTTCTATGAGAAAAGAGTGAAGTTCACGAGCAACGTCTTGTGAGATAAAAGCTTTTATTTTAGTACGTAAAGGGTGGAGTCGGCGAGGCTGTTCGCCTAAAGAGTGCAGTCTGTATATTTAATAACGTAAAGCCAGTTGGATTTTAACGACCTCGCTTACCATTTAATTACGTGGACTCTGCGCTGATTCGATATTGTTCATCAACTTTGTGTAACCATGAAATTACATTAATAATTACACAGTGCTCTGCGCAAAATTTAGACGAAGTAACGTTTTTAGTTTTGCCACTGGTTAGCCCGATTCAGCTGCCTCGGCAAAGCACGAAGTTTGATATATATTTTTGAACAGTTAGCGCTAATGAAGTTTGTCTTTTTATCAAACAAATTCTACGGTGTAACGCAAATCAGTTTTTATGTCGACAAATTTTTTCTCGTGAACATGAAAGTTAATTGATCAGCCATTGTCGAGTGAATTAATTAGCTGTAAAAAAAATTCCGAAGTAGATATCAGTTACCAGGAGCTTTTCACGCATAATGACGTCATCGATCCACTTCGACAATGTCGCGTGTAATATTCCTCCTGCTTTTGTCCGAGTCGACGTTTATTGTCCGAAAAAGATAACTGCCAAAGAAATAGCTAATTTATGGGAAACTTCATTAAGAATAAGACTAGACGCGATAAGATCTTTGATACGGTCGAAGCGACAATCAAAAATTAAATATTGTTCGAGAGAACGTTAATTGCAAACGTCAAATTCACAACGGCTGAAATATTTCAAATTATACGATTGACGAGGGTAAAGGAAAATCAGAAGCAGTGGAAATATCAAATCGAATTATACTAAACTGTAACTGTCCTGACAAACGTGTACCGCGAGCCTTCACAGCTGATCGAACACTAAAACCAACGCGTGATTGACAAGATAAAGCAAGGTTGGCAAACTCACTTGGCAATCTCTCTGTAATTAGAGGACCTAACAGCAATATAAGCAGCTGACTATACCACGAGGCACGTTCACCAATATAGTATACGTATACAGGTCTGCTTGGGTTGTCCATTAACCAAACAACCCGACAGTCAATTCAGCTTATATACACAAGGGAACATAATTCTTTGCAGAGCAAAGTATATTTATGAGATCAAATCATATGGTACTGCACTAATCGTAAAAATATTAATATACAATATCACAATTAATATGAAGTAAATAATACAAGTATCGAAAGAATAAAAAAATGGCAATTATTACGAAAACTATATTTCATAATTTTCGTATTTTATTTTACCGCTCTCGCGTACAATACGAGGCGCCTTTTTGACTCCGGCAGTTCTAACGGCTGAGTTCGGTAGTTCAAGATGGCGCCCGAACTGTCATCAGTCGCGTCGGCAGCTCCCGAAGGAGACTCGAGTGCGTTTGAAGTGTTTAAGTCGATAAACTTACCATGCATTCCCCTGCGATACAGACGTCCAAACTATCCGGATGACATTTCGTACCATCCTCAACTTTGTCCGCGAGTTGCACGACTATTGTTTCCTCGGAGTCGAATTCGCTCACGCCATCTACGCCAAGAGGAAGGACGCGCTCCGCCTGGATTTCCTTGCTCTTTCCGCTGTCCACACCGTTTTCTAGCGACTGCTCACCACGGCAGATCAAAGCACATGGCTTTCCAGGATCATGATGCGGTAACCATCTCAATAATTGCCCACTGTAAGGTATGTTGTCAAAAGCAGCACATTGTTCCGCACGAAAATCGCTCGGTCGTTCGCATGGCTGAAACATTCACGAAATTTTCATTGTTCGTACCTGCTGATAGCTGCGTACACGCGTATACACATTTATTCAGGCTAAACGAGCATAATTGAAGTCAGCCTGTCAGTTTGATTTATCTAGGACAAACTAGATTTACCTCCCAATTGATAGCTCTGCATACGTACATGCCTTGATGCGTCGTAGGTTTGTATTGTCAGTTAAAAATACACGACGCAAGTGACGAAATAATTCGTTAGTGAACATTTATTTATTTTACAATTCCGTCGTTCAAAAATATACACGGTATCGATCAGCCTTCAAAATGTATATGGGAACATTGCAAACAGATAGTCCGCAAAACGTACGTTCGTTATCAACGATTCAAAAGCGTCTCTAAAACAGTTATTCAACGGTGAAAATGTAATCGTTCGTGCGATCTTATATATAACGCCTGGAAATGATTCGGCTATCCTCAAATTTACGATAGCATTCTCACGATGTGTTTCGAATAAATAGGAGATCATGGGAAGTAGTAAAAGGATATAGCCAGAGGGTGGAAATGTCATGACAGACATTGACGGATACCAATAAGCGTGATCGATCGGTATCATTAAGGGTCTACCTACATATACTACCTATACCTATAATTGTATGTACCGTTTAAACATATTGTACGTATATACACAACTATTGGTTATTAATTAATGATATCTCTCAAAGGTATCTGGGGAAGCGTTTCCCGTCCAAGGGGATGAAAGTCTTTCCTCAAATATATTCGCTGTACAACTTCAACTCCCTCCGACGTTAACCAGCAACGGTAGAAAATGGCAGACGATGAAGTTCGCTGTGTATAAAATCCTCAAAAGCTACCCTATCTCGACGTCTTACACCCTCGGACCATTTCGTTCAGGAATATCTACCTCCGCGTGGGCCAATTTCTTTCACCAGATATCAGAGAAGGACTTTAGTCCCCGAATCGAGCTTGTTCTCCGCGGTCGCTCTTGGCAGGGTTATTTTTTAATGCCAAGAAATCGGTGGCGGGGAAGGACCAGCCAGAGCGACTTCTGTTGTCCTCGAAGCGCCATTGTGTCCCGACGCTTTTTTATCTTTATAATTAAAAGCGAACCGAGGAAGCTTTTAAAAATTGCACTCGACTCTCGTAGCTACCTCTTATCCACGTTGTCCTTGAATTTTATTCCAACGTCCCCACCCCGCCCCGTGCCTCTCCACCCCACGACGGCTTACACAGCTATTTTGGAACTCCGAAATTTCGGCGTTATCGCTATTGGCGATTGCGGGATATTTGTTTCTTCTTCAGTTCCAAAGAATAATTTTTTTTGCCACGGCTCGGGCCAATTCATTTTATCGTATGGGAGGCTCTTGTGAAATTTATTTTCACGGGATACAAAGACGTTCTTGTGTGTATGTGCAAGATGGTCTTATCAGTGCCCGTCCTAACGACGCATATTATCTGCTGTTTGCGTAATATTTCCGAGAATCGTCTTTAGACTTTTGACAACGGTTATTTGGTTCTACGAAGGAAAACGAGGGAGAGATCAAATTTACTTGATACTTGTAGTACACGAGTCTATATGTATATACCACGTATTCAGATATCCAGGTTATTTTCTCTCGTCGCCCCAATACGAATAAGCCTTAAAACCCGTTTGTTTGTTAGCGAGCGAAATTCTCATCCATCATCTGTATTTTTCGTTAACCCCCGGTCAGCGATATCATTTTCAGGAAGCATCGAGATAAAGTTCAGTTTCGCGAGGATTAATACGCCGGCAAACGGGATATATCCTAAACTGTTGGCAGAAACCATTTTTTGCCAACCGTAGTAAAATGCTCTCGATGGAAATGCGAGAGCCAAAGGAGGTTTTTGTTTCCAATGGTGTGGGACGCGAGGGGGGTCAGCCGGTAAAACAGAGAGCGAAAATGGTCGTTATCGCTTTTTGCCCAAAGATTCGTGGATAAAATTAAACTTGCCCGCGCAGCCCGATTAGAGACTCAGCATGTATTATGTTCGAGCGTCAAGGTCAATGGAGTTACGTATCAAGCGTATATCTATAATTCATAGAAAGTGGCGCCAGGAGCAGTTGGATTATTTTCGAGGACGGGCAATGTTTAATGATGCAACCAGCCGATGCTTTAATCATTATTCTTAGAATATGGAGTAAACTTTTCCCTCGTCCTTCGACCGTCTTCTGAGCTTATTTACTTTGACGCGCTTAAATTCGGCTGGACGAAACTTCGCATTGCGATTATAGAGTCTTTTGTACACGTGGTTAAGGCTGTGTTAATCTGGTATATACATATGTACTTATGGGTATGTGTTTGTATTATATTTTAGAGCGGGGAGCCAAAAGCCATAATGGATATATAGATGGTATTCACGACTTCGCGGGGGGTGGAAGAAACTATGCGAAATGCCGAAACCTGTTAGAAACCACACCGGAACCGCAATGCAGAGTTCAGCACGCGGCTCGAACTGGAATCTCAACTAGTCGTTACGAGGTCACAGAATATACTATGACGCTGGCAGGACGTAGTTACGGGTTGCGGGCTCCGGCGGATGGCTCAAGGCGCTTTTGGGCTGTTCTTGAAAATTCCCAAGTATGGATAATTAATTATTTTCCCGTGCTTTCCAGTCAACTGTGAAGCCGCTGATCTTGATAGATTGTAAATATATTATTAAAAAAAAAAAAAAAAAAAAAAAAAAAAAAGACGCTGGCAGGACGTAGTTACGGGTTGCGGGCTCCGGCGGATGGCTCAAGGCGCTTTTGGGCTGTTCTTGAAAATTCCCAAGTATGGATAATTAATTATTTTCCCGTGCTTTCCAGTCAACTGTGAAGCCGCTGATCTTGATAGATTGTAAATATATTATTAAAAAAAAAAAAAAAAAAAAAGAAAAAAATAAGGAATTAATAAAATATTGTCTAACCAACAGATGCTCGAGGGAATGCCGTGGTTGCGGAATCGTCGGGGAAGAATTGAAGGAGATACGAGAAGAAAAAAAAGGTAAAATGCATCGCTCAACAAGAACCGCTGAAGGGAGTAAGTTTTAAAGCGTCCACCTGAATGCAGTTCGTAGTTTCGTCTCGTCGGTGCTGCAATTTGCCAGGGGGTCCATAATTATTCGGTGTACCGGGAAGGGTCGCGGGGTTGAATTTGTCCGGGAGGAAAGTTTCAATCTTGAGGGGGTGGGGAGAGAGGAGGGGGGGGGCTTCCCCAAAGCGGAAACATTTCCCTTTAAGTGTCCTAAGGAGGGATGGGTGGTAAGGGTGTAAAGGTTCGTACACACCGTCAGTGGAGAGTTGCGAGGGGTTGAGACGGAGTGAGACGTCGTGATGCAACGTCGGCCGTGCTTGGTTGGAAGTGGTCGTTGAAGGAGGGGAAAGGAGGGGAAAATAGACGAGGAGGGATTGAAAAGAGCCGGTTGCTAAAATAGCTCGTGAATAGTTGAGCGTCGAGGCGTCCAGCCGCAAAAGCCAGGTGGTACGTCCGAGTGGCGCTGAGGAAGAGAGTAGAAAGATTTTGCCGGCAGCCATGCAGAAGCCGACAATGGACGGTGGAAGGATAAGAGAAACGGGGAAGGAGGTCAGAAAAAGGACAAGGACTGTTTTCCCATCCGGCGGAAGGAAAGTCACATGGCCTTAAAATATATAAGAAAACATCGGGCGCCGTTTCAAGGGGGCCCTTGGACTACGATAACACGGATCACCGTGGACGGTGCTGCCACCGTGCGGCGGATAGAGGAGACGGAGCTGCAGTTTGGCGATAGAAGGATGGCGAGCGAGCGAGGGAGAATAAAAAGTCCTGCGAAGGAAGAAATCGAGGGGGGTTAGGTGTGTCGACAGCAGTACAAGACGAGGAAGGAGACGTATCCTTGGGGATGCCGAAGATTAGTGGGAGGAGGCAGTTCAAGTGCGAATCCTTATAAAAATAAGTAAAAGTGGACCTTCGCGTTCTACTCGACCCTAAACGACGTCTCGGTCGCAGTGTTATTCTTAGTTCCGCTTGACCTCCACTCCATTTTCTCATTTTCCCTGGACCACTCCTACCTTCCTCGTCCTACGCTCCTACCACACCGGAAGTACCACTTTCTTCACTTGACACAGCCGCGGGAGGATGCTGGCTCCACTCGTTCTACAGCATCTTACCTTAAGGCTCTATATGGAAAACGCGCAGAGGAAATACACACTGGTATGGGTACCTATTCACCTATGAGCTTGCAACTGAGACATCCCCACACGCGGGAGACACAATTGGAGTTGTCGACTTGGACGATTTTCAACTCATTTGGAAGTTCATCCCCCAATGAGACTGTCACGTTCACGTAAAGTTCGCAGTTACTCGAATCCGCGAATTTCCCAGTTCCCAATGCTTCCCCGAAGTGCAAACAACCCTCTTTTTACTACCCCTCCGACCTCGTTCTGCAAAACCTTCAGCCAGTTCACTCCGTACAGTAGTTTATATATATAGAGCCCAGCATCCGAAGGTTCTATCCTAAAGTTCATCGCTTCTACAGTTCACCATCCTCATTCTCTCGTATACTATATACATTTGTATATACGTGTGTGTGTATATATATATATATATATATATATATACACACCATCACTTTCGACCACGTCAGATGCCAGACCCTACATTCTACAGTCGACACAGTCATCCCTGTCACCCAGATTCGACCCAGTTTCATCCAGCATTCACTCCCTGATCCTGTCTGACCTCTTACGACCTTATCCCTTATTCCATCCTCTTCTCCGAGTCATAGCAAACGTACTTCCCTAATTCGCAAGCACTACGATAACGGCACAATGGTGTCCTGAGATTTTCCACCGGTACGAATATCGCGCATAAACTCTCCTGTATAATGGTTTTTCAACTTGAATCGCTTCGCTCGCAACTGAATGTTTGCACTGGAAGAACTTTGATATCTACTTTATGCACACGAACTTCTCATTCAATAGAACTCTCCGGCAAAGTATCAAGCATTGCCACGCTGCGTCTATTCATCTTTGTTTGTGATCACTGGATACTATACTTGCAGATATATCCACAGATCTTCATAAATCATCCAGTTCGCCATATTGGTATCACTTTTTGCAAGTGCCTCCTCCTCACGGATTTTTATTCAAACATGCTCTGCTCTTTCTTGTTGGGTCATTTGATTTTTAGCTGCTCCTACTAGGAACACGTACAAAGTCCAGAGTCCAGATTGATGCTTTTTCAAAGGGTTCCATAGCATTGTTAAATTTTCATGGGTTCAGTACCCGTTGGATTTCGCGATGTGCCCGATAAGCTGTATTAAAAATTTGTTTTTATCAAAAACTGATAATCAACCACTGATACGTGCTTTGGTTACCATATTTTATTATAAGTAAAAAGCTTGAGAGCCAACGAACGAAAGTAAACAAGGCAGATTATTAAATAACTTTACTGCCGAGTATCAATTTTGGGGTTCGAATTACGTTGTCCATTTGCGTACGGTGGTAAAGGGAAAAATGAATGGCATTTTTTTTTTTTAAGTACAATAGTCACTTTGTATAATGAGGGATATAAAAATGTCAAGGATTTGTCCATGTGTAGCAAACAATAGGTATATTGCTGTGTAACGATACTTTATCCATATAATGATCGATCAATGAGAGCTTATACGAAATCGATATATGCCATTTTTCCTTTGTATCGTATTATCTTAAAAGATGGTACCTGCCAGCGACGCAGAGACATTGTGTCTTCGTTCTTCAACGAGAAATACACTTCAGCCCCTCCCGTTGTTCCGTTTAATTAAGGAATACCTTTTTATCCGGCAATCGTTCGAACCAGCTTCAGACTTATCTTTGCACGTGTCCCGATTGATTTAAAGGAAAAATATTTATCCACCGACGTTCCTCCCTCTTTTGTAATACAGGTTAGTACAGTGGCGCCCCGCGCGGCGGCGTCGGTGAAACACGATTCCCAGCACGCCCTCTCCATTCTTTTATGCTAATATCCCAACGCTGTCTTTTCTCATGATACTTTAGTTTCGCGCCAGTCGACTTTCTTGTATCTGGTACACATGTTTTATTCCGGCACGGTGAATTTTATAGCGCGGGTGTTCATTTTTGAAATTGACTCGTTTACCGCGCTCCTGCTAGCAGGTAAAATTGAACGACGACTCAACGGTTTAACGCGAGCGGCGTTTACGAATATACGATAAGAGCGAGGACGGTTGGCCCGATGTACGTAGAGATAAATATTTGATACGTCGATTGACCCGATGACGTATTAATATCCGTGTGTGTGTGTATATATTTTTTATCGGAGGACACCGATCGTGCGGTTTGAAGACAACGAGACGCTCGAGTGCGCATGCGCCTACGTGGGAATAAACACCCTGGAGGCAAATCCAAGCGGAAGTAGAAGAGCCCCTGGTATATATTCCACGCAGTAAATCCCTTCCGGTTGGATTTTAACTTGAAATTTATCACCTTGCCGCAGGAGAAATTATTGTCGCTGTGCAGTCTCGAAGGAACGTTATTTAGTGGGTGCAATTGACTCGGAACGATTAATATTTCGCCGACTTAAATTCTCGCTACCGATTACTTTCGAGTTATCTAAATGGCCGCGTCCATTTATGTTACGGGTTGTCCCTACGTAAAGCACTATACCGATTAACTGTAGTGAAATTTATGTAACGTTGATATCCGCCAATAACGTGGGAAATTCAAAATTATGGTTTTCAAGATATCCTGGAAAGTTAGTCTTCGCAGGGATTTGAGTTTGGTTTCAGGGAAAAAAAAAAAAAAAACAAAAAAAAAAATTGCATTTTTTCGCGAAACAGACCACAACCATGGGTAAGTCATTTGTCCCGAGCTTGTAGAAATTAGAATTTTTTTATTCAGGGTGTCAATTTATTTTCAGGTTCCATCTTCTTGCGCGCGTTTCCATCCCACTGTCTATTGAATTGGGGGTATTCGCCAGCTTTAGAAAAGGCTCTCGTGCGAAACAGAGAAAACGGCACGAGTCGAGCTGATGCATCGGAGATCGAATTTACGGATGAAAATGACGTCAGCGATGATCTAGGATCTAGAGAATTGGGATCGCTGGGACGAACGACGAATTCAAGATGTCGGACATACGCGCATCCGGCATCCTGTGTTCTATACCGATTCACTGTGCGTATAGAATTGGGTTAAGCGCCCGTTGCGGATAGAAAAGGAATCAGGCGTGGCGACGATTCACATTTGTAAGATTCTCGCGAGGGACGCGTCAATCTCTGCTGTCCAATCACGAGACTCTATTGGATATGACGTCATAAAATGTTGAGGAACACGGGGTGGAACACTTACCACCCGGGGAAAATTGTCTATCAGCCTCGGATGCGCGATTCCACGTGGTCGAGCTACGAGATACGCGACATAGAAACGCGACGTAATCCGATCGATCAAATCTTGAGGCTTGAGCCTCGAAAAACCTATGTGAGTCGGGCTTAATCTTTTAGTCGAAGATATCCCCCTCGAGCTTCCATCTAGTCTTACGAAATGGCTGTTGAAGATGGGAATTTCGTGGGGATGCTTCTTCTTTTTCTTCTTTTTTTTTTTCATCTCGTTCCATTATAATTTGGACACCCCTTTTTTTAGTTTACCGTCAGCGACTATAAAGATACGTTATTTATCGTATATGTACTACGCGTACTGTGTACGCTGATTAATTGTATATATCCATCCTGGTAAAATCGCCTGTTAATATACTGTCACTGTGCGTGACGTGCTTTTATGATGGATCGATAGAGTTTCGAATTGCGTGATGTTGGTACCAAATTAAGAAAAAAAAAAAAAAAAAAAAAAAAAAAAAAAAAAAAAAAAAAAAAAAAAAAAAAAAAAAAAAAAAAAAAAAAAAAAAAAAAAAAAAAAAAAAAAAAAAAAAAAAAAAAAAAAAAAAAAAAAAAAAAAAAAAAAAAAAAAAAAAAAAAAAAAAAAAAAAAAAAAAAAAAAAAAAAAAAAAAAAAAAAAAAAAAAAAAAAAAAAAAAAAAAAAAAAAAAAAAAAAAAAAAAAAAAAAAAAAAAAAAAAAAAAAAAAAAAAAAAAAAAAAAAAAAAAAAAAAAAAAAAAAAAAAAAAAAAAAAAAAAAAAAAAAAAAAAAAAAAAAAAAAAAAAAAAAAAAAAAAAAAAAAAAAAAAAAAAAAAAAAAAAAAAAAAAAAAAAAAAAAAAAAAAAAAAAAAAAAAAAAAAAAAAAAAAAAAAAAAAAAAAAAAAAAAAAAAAAAAAAAAAAAAAAAAAAAAAAAAAAAAAAAAAAAAAAAAAAAAAAAAAAAAAAAAAAAAAAAAAAAAAAAAAAAAAAAAAAAAAAAAAAAAAAAAAAAAAAAAAAAAAAAAAAAAAAAAAAAAAAAAAAAAAAAAAAAAAAAAAAAAAAAAAAAAAAAAAAAAAAAAAAAAAAAAAAAAAAAAAAAAAAAAAAAAAAAAAAAAAAAAAAAAAAAAAAAAAAAAAAAAAAAAAAAAAAAAAATTGATTGGCAATCCTACCACTGCTACCGACTCTTTTGGACCGCAAATTTCTAACTGGTACTGACTATGCAAGACACTCGAAGAAATTGGCACTTTCAGGTAAATCCCGAAATTTGTCCTAGATTCGAGAATGTAGGTCAGGCACATGCAGTTGCATAGCAACATGTCCCAGGGGAAGGGATGAGCGGCGTAAAGGGACACACGTTATCTGCAGTCTAAGATAGATATGTAATACAGATATACGTGCTGGACTACCATAAGGGTGCGTTCACATCGCATGTGGCGTACGCGATTTTTGTCGTATTGTAAATTTTTTTTTTTTCAAAAAATATTAGAATACCGCGGTATGCGGACTTGATCGGTTCTGATGTTAAAGGAAAATTTGAAATATTAAGCTTACGTTTATGGCGCTTAGGATGAAGTATTTTTTTTTTACCTAACAGGAGCTTAATCGTTTACCTCATTCCCCGCGATAGAGAGTGATAACGGGAGGCTTATCGGACTAAGAAGAAATTGAAAGTGAGCGACCGACCTGCGTGTTACAGACTTTGTATCTGGTGCTCCAGGGTCTTCCTTTGCAGGGCGTTCGTCGGCAGTGTCTTTGTTGACGGGAGACGCCGCCGTCGCAGCTTCTAAATGAAGAAAAACATTATTTTTAAACAAACAAATTTTTACAGCCTAGACACGTCTCGTATGCAAAAGCATCTAATTTGCATCTTTAGTTTGCCTTTATTTTTTTTTTCAAAAAAAAAAAAAAACGTCTAGCCTCTCTCTTTACTCTCGTGCACGTCTCGACTTTTCAAGTCCTTTTTATGCCAACCCCCAACAAAAAAAATCTGATTCCCCTCGTCTCCCTGTTATCCGAACCACGAGTACTGGACATACTAAATGCAGTTCGTACAACGGTCGCACGTGGTCAGGGTATATATTTTTTTCTCGTCACGTGTAAAGGGATCGGCACTAGCAAACGTCATAAATATCGAAAATCCCGATAAAAACGTATATATAAGTAATTCTGGTATCCGTCATACGTCGCTGACTTTGAAATTTTTATATATATATATATATATATATATATATATACTCTTATTATTCATGCGCAATAAGTTTTAGCGCGTTGCCATTACATTGTATACACCCTGTATATATGTACAGTCTATATATCTGCTACCAATTCCATTTAAGGGATGAAAATTATAACTTCCCCTGGACAGACTATAGCGGCATTTCGCGCGAATTGGCATTGACAATTTCCAACAGCCCCGGCGCGCGTTTAGGTGGGGCCCAGGCGCAAGACAATGTTCGTTTCCACGAAGCTGTCGCGATGCAATTTAATTAAGCACCTTACCGGGCGACAAGCGATAATCATTGTTTACGTGGGTACCCGCTGTAATAACAGGAGTGCCGGAGCATTGTAACGCACTAACAAGGCCTCGGGAAATGAACAAAGTTACGTTGTTACGATTCGTTAAAAGTTACTTTATTTTTTTCGTATTGCGCGTATACACGTATACCGGTTGTCGGGATATGCATTAAATTGCAAAAATTACGAGCGCTCCCATTGGTCGGTTCGTCGACGTGGCGGGAGATTTAAAGAAATATCAACGAAACGGGTTAGGCTGGTTAAAAGTTTAGCAGGCAAATTTGGCTGTTATTTTTAATAATAAAAATTATATATATATATATATACGCTGTATTAATAAGATAAAAGGATATTTAAAAAAGTATACGTACCTTGAGCACGGTGACCATTTTGACCAGGGTAGCCACTCTCCCCGACCAGCCTGTCAAACAGAAAGGACGTACACGTATTTTTACTTTGTCTTTTCAGGATATAAGAGGCGAGTCTTGTACTATGCACGTTCATGGGTATGTATTTATATACAGGTATGTGTATCGTATATTCAACCTGAAGAAATGAATAATTAAAGCGTCGCTACGCTGACGTGACGTTTTTCACACATTGCAGAACGGAACGAGAGAGCGAACGTGTCCCGGGGTGTTCGAGAGTAAAACGTAACGCGTTTGATATTCGGTAGAATCGTTATTTTCCTCTTTTCCTTCCTTCTCATGCCTGGGCGCCTTTACATTAGCGCAACGAATCGAGCGCCGAAGAGAAATTCGGCCTGCATATTTCATAGGAGCGGGGAACGGGCGGAAGACCTCCGAACCCTGGCGGCAGGGACAGAAACGAGTAAAAGATGGATGAAGGGTCTTAAGCCCTAATATGTTGTCTGATGGGGGTTTGACATCGTTAACTGTCTGCTAAGTGAAAAATCTCGCCTCTCCATCCTTCTCTCTCTCTCTCTCTCTTTCGCTCTCATTCAATATTTACTCTTGTTCTCTCTCTCTCTCTCTCCCTGTCTGCATATTCCATTTTCCTGCTTCGCAAGATCCTAGAAAATATTTTCGATTAATCACTGCACGACTCACGTGGCCAACTTCACGTCGCACGGTAGTACGGTGATGCCACTGCAGTCGGGTCTTCGTACTACGGCCTGAAGGTAGACTAAGAAAGGCTTTCTATGGCTTTCTCGTTACTCGTGGATCGACGCTCCCACGTGCATCCACCGTACGTCTGCATGTCCCAAAAGGATCCTGGTAAGTCTTAATGGTCTTTGGGTAAGATGGCTGCCGAATTTGGCAAGACGGTCGATTTAGGATCTTTGCGAGGTTAAAGCCTGTTTCACAGACCCAGTCACTAGCGAGGTCCGTGTTATTAGTCGAGAGACTGG